AGGTATGCTATAATGACAACATAAAATAATAACTTTAGATCAAGAAATTTTAAAGCCATATATGGCGTAACTGATCAAAAAGTATAATCTTAAAAAATACAAAATTAAGAGAAGAAATATAGTAAATATATCTATATTAAAACTTTTCATACAATTCTGAACACGGAGAACACCTCGTTTCAACTAACTATACGATTTTACCTTCTCTGTATTGTGTTATTTAAATCTTTTGTATTTTCTTCCGAATCGGAGAAAATTCCGAGAATGCAAATTAAATTGTGATATCTTTATAACGCAATTGACTTAGATTTTGTAATGTACGGAAAAGTTCTATCTTTATATAAAGTAATGATACAAATAATAAGTTCTTATTATTTTAGTCTCATAATTTTCATTGTACATACGCCATATATATGGTTTTAATCTCAAGACAATCATTATAGTTCATTATACAATTCGATCAGGCCTCTACAAGATGTTAACCTTGTAACTGAACACACCCAAAGACATCCTTAAAAAATTGGATTTCATTTTGATAATGCAAAAAATGTTGGACATCCTACAGAAAATAAGGTACTTCGGCCCAACAAGAGGGAAAATCCTTAATATGGCTTTTCAGACTTATGTAATAAGTATACACACTCTTCTGATAGATTAATGATCATTGCTAATGGACAAAAGTACACAAACCCTTGGTGATACACAGACCCTTGGTGATTTTTAGACCCTTGATGATACATAGACCCAAGGTGATGCATAGACCCTAGGTGAAAACCCTTAGTGATACACAGATCCTTGGTAATACAAAGACGTTAGCTGATACACAGACCATTGTTGATACAAAGGCCCTTGGAGATAAACAGACCCTAGGTGATACACAGACCCTCGGTGATACATAGACCCTTGGAGATAAACAGACCCTTGGTTATACATAGACCCTTTGTAATACACAGACCCTTGGTGATACATTGACCTTTGGTGACACACAGACCCTTGGTAATACAGACACCCATGGTAATATATTGACCCTTGGTGACAAATAGACCCTAGGTGATACAAACAAGCACTTGGTGATAAACATAACCTTTGTGATACAGTCCCTTGGTGATACACATACCGTTGGTGAAACACGTGGCATTGGTAATATACATACTTTTTATGATACATAGACCCTTGATGACAAAGACCCTGCGTGATACATAGAGTCATAGACCCTTGTTAATACTAAGACCCTTGACAAACCCTCTGCGATGCACATACTGGTTATATTAAAAACCAAACCCTTGCAAATACAGACTCTTTCTGATATACACCATTGTTAATATAGAGAAAAGTGATCAATATACAGAAACTGGTAATAAGTATATAGACCCTGGTCATGGGTATACAGACCCTGATGATAGATAAAATGGACCCAGGTGATGGGTATACAGACCCTGGTGATAGATAATACAGACCCTGGTGAAGGGTATACAGACCCTGGTGATTGATATAAAGATTCTGGTGATGGGTATACAGACCCTGGTGATAGGTATACAGACTCTGGTGATCGGTATATAGACCCTTGTGATGGGTATACAGACCCTGGTGATAGATAATATAGACCCTGGTGATGGGTTTAGAAACCCTGGTAATAGATAATATGAACCCTGGTGATGTGAATATAGACCCCGGCGATGGGTATATAGACCCTGGTGATGGGTATATAAACCCTGTGATAGATAATATGGACCCTGGTGATGGGTATACAGACCCTGGTGATGGGTATACAGACCCTGGTGATGGGTATACAGACCCTGGTGATAGATAATATAGACCCTGGTGATAGATAATATAGACCCTGGTGATGGGTATATAAACCTTGGTAATAGGTAATGCAGACCCTGGTGATAGGTATACAGACTCTGGTGATCGGTATATAGACCCTGGTGATGGGTATACAGACCCTGGTGATAGATAATATAGACCCTGGTGATGGGTTTAGAAACCCTAGTAATAGATAATATGAACCCTGGTGATGTGAATATAGACCCTGGCGATGGGTATATAGACCCTGGTGATGGGTATATAAACCCTGGTCATAGATAATATGGACCCTGGTGATGGGTATACAGACCCTGGTGATGGGTATACAGACCCTGGTGATGGGTATATAGACCCTGGTGATGGGTATACAGACCCTGGTGATGGGTATACAGACCCTGGTGATCGGTATATAGACCCTGGTGATGGGTATACAGACCCTGGTGTTAGATAATACAAACCTGGTGATGGGTATATAGACCCTGGTGATGGGTATACAGACTCTGGTAATAGATAATATAGACCCTGGTGATGGGTATAGAAACCCTGGTGATAGATAATATGGACCCTGGTGATGTGAATATAGACCCTGGTGATGGGTATAGAAACCCTGGTGATAGATAATATGGACCCTGGTGATGGGTATATAGACCCTGGTGATGGGTATACAGACCCTGGTGATGGGTATATAGACCCTGGTGATAGGTATACAGACCCTGGTGATAGATAATACAAACCCTGGTGATGGGTATATAGACCCTGGTGATGGGTATACAGACCCTGGTGATGGGCATATAAACCCTGGTGATAGATAATATGGACCCTGGTGATGGGTATATAGACCCTGGTGATGGGTATACCCTGGTGATGGGTATACAGACCCTGGTGTTAGATAATACAAACCCTGGTGATGGGTATATAGACCCTGGTGATGGGTATACAGACTCTGGTAATAGATAATATAGACCCTGGTGATGGGTATAGAAACCCTGGTGATAGATAATATGGACCCTGGTGATGTGAATATAGACCCTGGTGATGGGTATAGAAACCCTGGTGATAGATAATATGGACCCTGGTGATGGGTATATAGACCCTGGTGATGGGTATACAGACCCTGGTGATGGGTATATAAACCCTGGTGATAGATAATATGGACCCTGGTGATGGGTATATAGACCCTGGTGATCGGTATACAGACCCTGGTGATGGGTATATAGACCCTGGTGATGGGTATATAGACCCTGGTGATGGGTATACAGACCCTGGTGATAGATAATATAGACCCTGGTGATGGGTATATAAACCCTTGTGATAGATAAAATGGACCCTGGTGATGTGTATATAGATTCTGGTGATGGTTATACAAACCCTGGTTATGGGAACATAAACCCTTGCAATACATAAACAGAACCTGTCTATATCACAGAGAGAGAAAAAAATATATATTAAATGAATGAATAAATAAATAAATAAATAATAAATAAATAATAAATAAATAAATAAATAAATAAATAAATAAAATAGATAAATTAACCAAATAAATAAATAAATAAAAAGATAATTAAAATAAAAAATAAATTAATTAATTGATTAATTTTAAGAGAATAATAATAAAAAGGAATAGATATGATAGATAAATAAATAAATAAATAAATTATTAGTAAATCAAACATTTACTTTAATTATCAGAAATAATAAATAAACCAATAAATAAAGAAGAAAACCAATAAATATATAAACAATTAAGCAAAATATAAATTAAGTAAACAAATAAATTAAAATATAAATGAATTAAAACATAAATAATAAATTAATCTATAAATTTATTAATTAAATAAAAGAATAAATGAATAATAAATAAATAGAAGAATTGATTACTCATTAGAATAATTAATTAATGAAGAAAAGAATGTATTCATAGATAAACAGACAAATAAATTTCCTAATGAATAAATAAGTTACTTAGTTTATTAATAATTATTACAATTAAAAAAATAAAAATATATAAATAAATAAATAAATAAACAAATAAATAAATAAATAAAAGATTAAATAAACAAATAAAAACTAATTGCAATGTCGACTTATTAATTCTTCGGCTTTTTAAATAAAATTTTATTGAATTATGCATAAATTTCTGCATCTGAGAATAGCACTACTAGTTTTCGTTATATATTCCGAATTTCCTCTCTGCTGTTTTCCGAACTCGATGTAAATTTGTTGCGCGCATGCGCTCTGCCTGGTTATAGAGGCTGGTTACGAGATACAAAAATGTATTCATATAATTCAATGAGGTATCCATATATTTCATATCTATTCTAGTCAACATTAATGCAGTAAACAAGCCAGAGAAGAATTTTTTCATTGTAATGTTTAAATTCACTGTTAGCTATATGTTGTTTATGGAGAATTTGTTTTTGTTCAGTATTGTAACAAGGCATGCCACATCAAGATTTGCAGGAAAAATCATAACATTTTTGATTTCATGTAATCCAGATTCTACCTCCTCATCCTTTGACAAATGAATATAAAATAAGACACACAAACTAAGTCAAGACAACCGGTGGTATTATTAATAACAATAGTTTTATAGTTAGCATTTTTGAATTCATGAACAAAAGCACTGGAAAGCAACCCTTCACCTTTGCAACATGTATTCATTTAATATTAAAAGAATATTTACATTTCCATATTTTTCTTGAAGAAAGTTGGTCTTCTTCCAATTATATGCATTATTAAATTAGAGTACAATATTACTGCTTTTCTCTTTTGATTCTGTAATAGTTTTCTTTCCGTGACAGGCTGACATTGATTGTCAGAGATACAGATATTCTTGCCAATAGTAAATACATACATGTAATTAGTTTGGAAAAAAATGATAGCACAAACTTTGTGTTTTATTTTATTGTGTCAATAGTCTGATTCTCTAATAGGAACTTCATATTATTATAAGTCACATTCTTTTTTAACAAAAACATGATTTTCAGTTTCGTACATGTATCGATATCCTGACATTATAAAATCAGTTGAAATCAGAGATTTGATCTCAGAAGGTCCATCTCAGTTTGTCTTTTTTTCTTCCATACTTAAAAAATTCCTATATTTAATCATTGATTTGAATCTATTTTAAGTAAATACCAAAAGTCTCTACATAAAACTTTTCCAGCCTGTAATATGCAGATAACACTTCAATATCAAACAAAACAGCACATTTATTTCCATCACGTCAGAATTTTTAAGTTGCTTAGAGTTTTATTTTACATGATATTTCTATCCTTTAGAATGCATAAAGAGTCTGTAAAAGTTTATGTCTGGCTTGGGATGCTGAATCAAGAAGGGGATGGGGTCTAAAAAAAAAAGAAAAAAAATTCAATTACAAATTATGTACAGTCAATCCACATTACCTTGAACTGAATGGAACTGAAAGGTAACTTCAAGACATCCAAGGACTTGAGATATCGAGGGTAAAAAAAGGATTTCGACTTCCAAATCATTTTGACATATCTATAGTATTTGAGATATCAGTGTTTGAGATACCAAAGTTCAAGTGCATTAAGATTTAGTTACCAATGAAAATTAACTTACTTGCTAAAAAAGGCTTGTAACATTTCTCTAGAGTATTTCGGGAAGTAGGGTTGTCGTACGATATGTTCCAGTACTAAGAGTGGTCCCGTTATATCATTAGGTGGTCTGTAGGATTTATCTTCACCCTGAAATGAGAAGATGTAATTCACAAAGCCTGTCATTTCTATATTTATATGTCAGATTTGAGTGAATATGTGCAACAGTAAAGAGATAATGAATGGAAAGTGAATGAAGACAGAGTGACAGAACAGGATAAAATGATGAGTTGCCTGAATAAAAAATTCAGTGCTAACAAATGTGAAGTATTAGGTACCTTTAAAATTCCAAGGTAAACCAGTATCGTGTTGGCAAGAATAACTGCATCATTTTCTGTATTACATTTCACAGTTTCCTCAATTATTTGGTCTGAAATAAAAATATTGATTTTGAATATTGCTGTTCAACTACAGAAGGAATGGATCATTTCCAGTAATCATTTTTTTAATAAAGAATTGCTGTCAAATCTGATTATCTCAAACTTGATATGGCAGCAAAAATTTCAAGATATTTGTGGCATCAAGATATTGAGGTCAAAGAACCATCAAGAAAACACACCTGGTAGTTTGTGATTGAAATTCGACATGAATTTGACATTTATCACTTATTTGAGAAATTGACATTCAAGAAAACTAACTTCAACTACGTAAGTAGCAACAACAAAGATTATTATGTGCATATTTTGTTTTTAGTTTACAAATATTTTTTCTTTTAAAAATATCTTTATATTCTGGAAAAATTCTGTGAAGGCAATATTAAAGCTGAAAAATTTTGTATTTATGTGCCTATTAAAGTAAACTGATAGTCTACAATGTACCGTGGTATCTATCAAAATACATGTATATGCACCAGGGTATTCATTCTTTGCTCTCTAAGCTTTTAAATCCCTAGTGCAAGTGTCAGAGCTATAATAGCATATTAAATATACTTAATTATAGAAAGTTTAGTGTACCTGCACAATCACAAGCTGCATCTTTAGTTTTTGTATCATCTGTTGTCACCACACTAGAAATCTGATAAGAAGATGAAATACATGTAAAACCTATTAAAACAAAACAAAAAAGAATTGTTTCCCTTTGAAGTATGTACAATGTAGTGCTAAGCATATACACGTATAGATGTTACCTCAAGGTAAAAAGTTCATAGCAAAAGCTCTTTGAGCCTTTGTCTCAGAAGAATTAAAACCTTCAAAGCAGAAATTTATTCCAAGTTGTACAATTTTCAAACCTTCAACTTAATTATTTTACATCACCCTTCCTTTTTTTGAATTTTTAATCCATTTAAATTTATGTAAATGCATCTACAGCAAAACTCGTTTAGTACGAACACGGATACAGCGAATTTACAGTTATAGCAAAGTCATTTTGGATCCCCAGCAATATAAATTTAACGTATTCCTTATATGGATATCACAAATTACGGATATAGCGAAGTAAATTTATAGGTCCCCAGGACTTCGTTATAACCGAGTTTTACTGTAGTACTAACCTTCATAAATGTCTGAACTGCTTTATCCAGGTCATTCACATCAGTCTGTATTTTGAGAAAAAAAAGTACATTAAAAATAATCTGAAAATATGAAATATGTGCTCTTTTAATTTTATATATCTAATGCAAGTTGAAACATTTGTTTGTACATATGCTAACTTTACACATTGTATTTTTGTTCAGCCAATAAAATGAAAATTAAAAGATTTTGACAAGACTAAAACTCTACTGGTGTGTACATTTATTTGTTTTTTCAGACTTGTTGAAACTGGGCTGTATCTGTGGTAAGAGAACATTTTTAGAAAATTTCGAAGAAAGATCCTTTCAAATTTAACCTCCCATGGCAACATTTGTTGAAACCAAACACAGATTAAAAGAAAGAATAATGTATCTGTAGTATCTACCCGTAATAACATATAGTGCTTGTGGACAAAGTCTTGTTAATTGTGGACCTAAACTGTTGCAGAAATGTTTTGAAAGAATTATTGATTTTTTTTTAGTAATCATGGCAACACTGTTGATATATGTAAAAAAAAAAAAAAAAACCATACCGGTACACAGAATTATTTTTCTTAGTACAGTGTACTTATATGTATAAAGTTTTACTAAAATTGGATCAAAACTGTAGGAGTAGTGTTTTGCAGAAAATAGTTTCCAGACTCCTAATACTATCAAATAAGCTCTTTGATTTCTGACCATTAGAGCCTTAAGGATGCTGGACTTACCCCAAGTTCTTCTCTTATGGCCTGAACTCTACCACTTCCAAGCTGTAATAGTTTGCTGGGGGATGGGAATGCCAAAAAATCTTTTGCAGTTGTCTGTACAAAGAATGCATCATGATTAAATACACATAGACCAATCTACAAATATATTTTCTGTTCATATATCAAGTCTAGAATTTCAGAGAAGTAAAGATATTGTAAACCCATATGTCCAAAAACTGGAAATATCTTCTTTGGGAGTTTCAAAATCTGCTTGTAAAGTACACAACTGAATACCTTAGACAGCAGAAATGACAACAAATATACTGTTATTTACAAAATAGCTAGCTAATTTGGTATTCATAACAAAACAGTGGGTTCCTTTCATAAACTCCATCCTTCTATGGTCAAATATAAACCAAATTGTCTACTATGATTGATTTCTATGTACACAATTCATGCAGATGCCAAATACACCTACCCTCTTTATTACGATAAAAATTGGGACTTCAATTTCATTTTGGTCTTGCATAACCAGACTACATCATAGAATTTCTTGAGAAACAGACAACACCCCTGATTAAAAGTCATGCACACAGAAAACATTTTTTTATCTTTTTACAGCTAGAAAATACATGACTATAGGTTTGAAAATCATTTAAATGTCATAACTTAACCAATACAGTAAAACTCGGTTAGTACGAACACGGGTATTGCGAATTCACGGATATAGCAAAGTCATCTTGGATCCCCAGTTATATGAATTTAACAAATTTCTTATACGGATATAACAAATTATGGATACAGCGAAGTAATTTCATAGGTCCCATTGACTTCATTATAACCAAGTTTTACTGTATAAACAATTCAATAAATATTTAAGCAGATATTATGCTATTGGATGACAAGTTGATGTTACAGGGATTTTAACAATTTCATAATAAAGTGAACAGGGGATGGATACTCCTCCTGGGCACCTGATCCAATCTCTGGAATTTCCAGGGGTCTGTATTTTATGCCCTCTTAACAGATTTGTACTTGTCATTGATTTTTTTTTAGGATAGATCACTGTTCGATATCTTTTCCATTGAATACTTAAAAACATGTTCTCCTTGACAAGAAATAAACCAGAAAAAGGTTCAGACATCATTAAAACATTTATTCTAAAAGAAGACAAAAAGTGTCAAAGTGTTCAAATGGTGGAACTTAAAACAAGTCAACATAAAATATGGCATTACGAAGACTGAGATTGAAAACTTTAGTTTCTGAAAGTACTATGGCTATAAAAAGAAATAATGGTTTTGTCGTGAAATTATTCTTAGCATGAGATAATCCCTCCTAATTTTTAGTATCTCGAGACAATTGATTTTAAGAGGTAGATGCATAATTGACAGAAAAAAAAAAGAATTCAAATGCAATACTCTGTAAAAATCAGCAATATTAAAATGAATGAGAATGTTACGAGATCTTGATGAATTTAAATATCATGTACAATGTAAAGCTATTTAAAACAGCAAAATGTGCATGGAGAAAAGTAAAAGCATTTGGTTTTAAAAAGAATCTCATTATCACAGATAGAATTAACATTTAAAACTAGACAGTTCTCAATCAAAAAAATTAATCTTCTAAGCATAGGTTAGGGTCATGAAAGCTTCAAATTCCCAAGGTCATCTGCAAGGTCAAGTGTGGCAGCATCATTCTGAAAAATATCAGAAAAGAAAAAGATGTCTAATTTGAATTTCAGAATTCTACACCACATTTGACCTTACAAATGCCTTAATAACCTTTTAAAAATTGAATGTTATTTTATGTAATATGTGTATATTAATTTCTTAGGATTTTTATCTGAACACTGAAAGCCAATTGTTGTACATGTATAGGAGTAAAATCTTAGGGTGTTTCTGATCCTGTGCCATATAGGCATAAACTTTGAATGTTATCTGCCCTGGAGCAGGGGAAATCCAAGCTTTGATTCATTCATTTGTCAGCCTGTTTATGTATTTCTCAGCCTACATTTTTATGCTATCATGTTGGTATAAACATACCTGTTTAATAAACATATCTGTTTACTGGGGGGGGGGGGGTGTTATGGCCTTGGTCTTTACCTGTACAAACCTGTTTATTGGGAATGATGGCCTTGACCTGTACAAACCCGTTTGTTGGGGTTGATGGCCTTGACATGTACATACCCGTTTGTTGGGGGTGTTGGCCTTGACCTGTACATACCTGTTTGTTGGGGGTGTTGGCCTTGACCTGTACATACCTGTTTGTTGGGGGTGATGGCCTTGCCCTTGACCTGTAGTGCTGGGTCATTTACTTCCTCCCCTTCCACATCATCATGTCCTACATCCTCCTGTCATAAAAATTACATCTTCATTACCAATCTGACTAGATTATAAATGTTTGGCATGTTCTTTTGTAAGACTTTTCTTTAAAAGATTTAACAAATTTATCCAGAATATTAATATCTATTGGTACAATTATAATACTGCTACACTGATTGAGAGAAATATTCTTTTATTCCTACAATATAAAATACCAGGTATGTATCTATTCAATAAATTCTACTAAATTAACTCACCTCGTCTGATTGGTCCCCTCCTCCATCTTCTTCCTCTGATCCTTCATCATCACTTTCAAAAAAAAAGATATTCAGCTTAATAGTAAATAGTTTATATTTTCATTTGTTATCTATGTAGGTTTTTGTCATTATTTTAATACAACATGAATCATCTATGTCATTTTCCACATTAACTTTACATGGCTGGAGAAGAAACAAACCTGAGTGATGCCAGGATATCCAGTTTACCCATAGCCTCCATAGTTCCTTTCACTTCCTCAATGCCATCTTCACCAAGCATATTACCTATTAAAGCACACAAGATATATTTAAATTATGCTTAAGAAACAACAAACTACAGTGTATTATCAGGTTACCATGATGGTAGTAATTCTATTTGAAATGAACCATCTTCAAACGTATTTATAATATTCAATGGAACTCATATCAATAAAAGTAAACTGGTTTAAGATGTGTAAGAAAATGAAAATTTTCTAATGCAATAGGATCTGACATGCAGTAATATTTAATATTATACTTTCATGCAAATTAGTTGAATCTGATTGGTTGAGAAACATTTGTTAAAAACACTATTACCCGCTGAATGAAGCCACGCCCTCACGCGTAGCAACAGTCAACATTGCTTGACGACGGGTGATATTCCAAAAAATAGCGACTGTGCAGAAATTATGCGCGCACGGTTCACTGTTATATGTATTTGTATAAAACATTCAGTATAATATAATAAATATTGCATGTAGTTGAGTGTAACATTGAAAATTTTCACCCCTCGAAAACCATTGTCTCGGATCTTGGGGTGAAAATTTTCAATGTTACACACAACTACATGCAATATTTACCGGTATATAATATTACTATCAGAAGCAGTTCTTAAGTAAGCAATCTTTCATCAATTCATGTATGAACAACACACAATTTCTCTCCTGACTTACAGTTTAGGTCTAGCCTAGTTAAGTTAACTTTGTTTTCCATGTTTTCAGCCACAATACCAGCTCCTCGTTTATTGATTTCATTTCCCGATAAATTTAGTTCCTGTGAAAAAGAGAAGGTTCAAATTCAATAGTAAATTCCCTTGAATAGAATGGCATATTTTCTTGACTGGATAAATATTCCTTTTAAACATTTTTTTGGCATGGATTGATCAAGAATAAGAAAAATACCTTAAGCTTCTGGTGTCCTTCTTTAAGAGCATTTGACAATGCTATTGCACCTTCAGTCCTCACTAAACAATCACCAAAGTTTATCACTTCTAAATTCTGTAACTTTGGTAAAATCTATAAAAAATCACTATGTAATGAGTGCATGGTAAAACTTATTACTAGATTTGATTTGATTTATTGATTAAATAAAATGCTTAAGGATTTGAATGCCAAATATGAATTTCCATCACACAAGAATGCAATGTTGAAAGTTCGGTTAATACTGGCCCCAGTTGTTCTTAAGGAAATATGAAAATATATAAGTTTACTTTCAAGTGTATATGCACACTTTTCATACATGTATGCTGTTCATACTTAAGACAAAGATTTATCAGAAAGCTCACTTGAGTCTCTCGCTTAGATGAGCTAAAAGTTTTAACTACTCACTTTGGCCATGTTCTTGCCTCCTTTTTGTGTAAATGTATTGTCACTAAGGTTCATGACTCTCAGGTTTTTGTTTTCTGCAAAGGCATCTGCCAGAGCTGTTATTCCTTCTGCATAAATACCATTCTGTGGCATGGCCACCTCTTCTAAAGAACCCAACGCCTGAAAAGTAAGACTTGTAAACACAATTGTTCAAGTTCTTTATTTCACTGTATTCTCCTATCATATTTTAGATTAAATAGGATGGAAGGTTGAACAGTAATGTACAGTATAATTTGTCTAATCCGGATTCTGTGCACTCCGGACTTTTGTTCATTTCGTCCAAAAATTTTAGTCCCATGCACTTCTTTAACAAATGTTATATAAAAAATTCTGTGCAGTCCGGATACTGTCTATTGTGTACTCCGGCCGGCCGTATTGGTCCCAACTGCTCATAATTAACGGTAATTATATCCTCTAATCCGGCCATGTAATGTTACCTGAGACACCTGTTTATATAGCCGACAGTGTGTTTCACGGCCCGTCGCCTCTACTAAGCCATTTAAAGAGGCGCTTATGGGGAATTCAGGTAACTTCAGAATTGTACACATTTTTGAAGGGTGCTCCAGGGAAAATACATACAATTTTCAGGGTGAGTATTATTCAATAAAATTACCAAACTATCTTTGTGTTCTGTTCATTCAAAATGTCTACGCCACGCAAGCGTCCTCATGACTCTCCTTATCCTTCTCCAAAGAGACAAAGAAAGGAATTAACTTTGCAGGAAAAAATTGACTTAATTGAACATTTCGAAAAATCGCCAAAAATTTCTCAAAAGGATCTTGGGGTTAAATTTGGAATAGGAAAAACAACAGTGAGTGATATTCTGAAAAGAAAGGAGTTTTATAGAGACCAGTTAAAAATTTCTGGGTCAGGAAAACGTCAACGGTTTACAAGTGGATCTAAATACGGTAATTTAAATGAAGCAGTATTCAAATGGTTCGAACAGGCAAGAGCGAAAAACATACCCATTAGTGGTCCTATTATTCAGGAAAAAGCACTACAGTTTGCAAGTGAACTTGGTTTTCCTGACTTTAAAGCGTCAGTGGGTTGGCTTGAAAGTTTTAAAAGCCGTTTCAACATTGCACATTTTAAGATTTGTGGGGAAAGTGCCGATGTCGATTTAGATCTTGTTAATTCCTACAAAGACACGCTAAAACAAAAACTCAATGGTTATGAACCACGGGATGTCTTTAATTGTGATGAAACGGGGCTTTTCTTTCGAGCTCTCCCAGACAAAAGTTTTTCGGTAAAAGGCCAAGACTGTAAAGGGGGTAAATTAGCGAAGGAACGTGTGACGGTCATGCTCGCTTGTAGCATGATGGGTGAAAAATTAAAACCGTTGGTAATTGGGAAATCTTCTAGACCAAGGTGTTTCAAAAATTTAGATTTGAAAAAACTTCCTGTTATTTGGCGTAACAACAAAAAATCATGGATGTCTTCTGAAATCTTTAGCGAATGGATAGCTGATATAAATGAAAAAATGAGAAAAAAACAAAGAAAAATCATTATGTTTTTGGATAATGCAACTGTGCACAGGCATTTAAAACTCAGTCATGTTAAATTAGAATTTTTCCCGGCAAATACAACCTCTAAACTGCAGCCCTTAGATCTAGGGATTATACGTGCCATGAAAGCGCGTTACAGAAAATATCTCATGCGTCGTTTATTGACAGGTATTGAAACCTCAGCGAATGCCTCTGAACTTTCAAAAACAATATCTTTGTTAGATTGTGCTCACTGGATCTCAAGGTCTTGGAATGACACGAAATTGTCCACAATTCAGTCCTGTTTTATTGCAGCGGGATTCCCCCTCGAGGGCCCCGATCAAAGTTCTGATGATTCGGACAGCGACGACATTCCATTAACACAGCTGATTACAAGACACGTGACCCTCGGTGTGACAGAAAATTCCCTGACTGACTTAGAAAATACCGAGAATGACATTCCCATTGAGGAAAATTATGACGGGGAATGGGAAAAACAAATTTTAGATGAACATAGACAACCATTAAATGAAAACAATTCAAGCGACGAAGACAACGGGGAACCGGACGAAACTGACGTTGACAACGGACCGACTTGCGCGGATTATACCGATGTGCTTGTATGTCTAACCAAAATAGAGAACTTCTCAAAAATTCACGATGATGATTACCTTACAATTATACAAGACTTAAAATCAATGACCGAAAACAAAATTATCGCTCTCAAGTCCAAGACATACCAAACAACTCTGGATTCTTTTTTTAAAAAGTGACGGCCACTTTTTTTTTTAAGTCTGACAGTGTGTGAATTATCAATTTATCAGAGGTTATATGTACTTGTTCATTCATATGAAAACATATGTAAAGGAACACTTTATCGACGATTAATTACTGAGAATTTTGTACAGTGTACAGTTTGTTTGTGTATCTAAAATGCTTTAATTTGAATAAATGACGAACACTCTACATCCTTAATCTGTGATTAAATATATCATATTTCAATGTAAAGAAAACCATACACCATAAAATTTGGATGCTTCTTTTTCTTATAGTAGATGTATTTTTAACATTTACGCATCGAATGTACACAAATATAAAAAAGGGAAATAACTCTAAATAATTTCCTGGAAATTTCCTGCATTCCAGATTCTGTCTAATCCGGCCATTTTTTACGGAACCAGTGGCATCCGGTTTAGACAGATTTTACTGTACTTGAAAATGTTTTTTTTTTCTTTTTAGCTCATTTCAACTTCATTATGTCCAGCTAAAATTAAACTAAGCATTCCTAAGCTATAATGACCAAAATTCATGATATCTGTAAATTCTTCAAGAGATACAATAGCGATAGTTGTTTTTGAAATAGGAGTAGAAATGACAGGACATGATCCTTACTTTAAAAACTGCAGCTAGTGCTGTCGCCCCTGGATTTTCTAATCTGTTTCGACCAGATACAAAGACCTTAAGTTTGAGAGGTTTCCCAGCCTTCACACTGTTCTGATGGCACTCCGTAAGACACTCGGCCAGCATCTGTCAACATAGATATTGTAATACATCAACATTTCAGAGCAAAGGCATTCATTTACCTACAAATCACTTCCATTCATTGAATTTTTGAGACAAACCTTTCCGCCTCCGACACCCAATCCATTGTTGTTTAGACGAAGTTCCTGTAATGTATAACAGCTTGGACTCTTCAGTAGAGCTACAAGTCCTACCACACCATTTGGACCAAAAGCATTATCACTTAGATCCAACTCCACTAATCCTGCACCAGCCTTCATGATAGCTGCTCCTAAAAATTCCTACATAACAGATCAAATCTCTGAATAATTATACACACATGTATATGACATCTTTATTTTTAATTGCATACATGTTTTCAATTTTAAATCTTTCATTTCTTAAAACTGACTAAAATTCAAAGAAGAATTTTGGCCAAACCTTTACTACAAGGGCAAAATCACCTCTATAAGGGAAAGACCCTTTTTTTTTTAATTGACATTTGTGCCTGTTATACATTAGATTGTTTTCCATTTCCCTCGATATAATTCTGATTTACGAATCCCACCATATTACACTGCATTAAGTACTTCATTATCCCTCCTCTTTTCCATTAATAATCATTAATTAACCTCCACATGAACAAATCTGAATCTCCTTTTATCATAGACATTTTGAAAAAATTGGATGAATTTGCCTGAGAGGCCTTGAGAAGATGAAACGAATTTTACAGATGACAATCAAATCACTTACTGATGACCTCTACCTACCAAAGCTTTAGGTATTTCAGTCTTTAGTCTTCCCGTAAACATGTCACTCCAGTGTGCTCTCTACAACATGTAACATTTACAAAATCTAATTAAATCTACAAGGAATGGTCATCCATCATATAAACAGTTATTGTATAAAGTAGTTCACCATTGTTAGCTTGTAATACTTGTCCATTTATATTCTTTAAAATTTTAAATTAAAATTTGACATTTTGAAAAACAATAAAATAAATGTTATCACAGCTGGGTATTACAAACAATCAAGGCGAAAATTAATTTAAAGTTTAAATTTCCTCTTATTTATGCATAATATATACAAACAACATGAAAATACCTCAAATTCTGGATGTTTTTCTAATGCCTTTGCAATGACTTCTGCTGCATCAACTCCAAGGGTATTTCCTTCCATCCGAAGCGCTGTCATTACCTTGCATTTTTCTATCTCTGCAACTATTTCTTTTGCTGTAATTCAACCCACAAAAAATAAATGTATACGGTCATAATCAACATGTATCCTGCATCTTTGAAATTTATACCTTCAACAAAATTTGTTCTGAGCTGACATCTATTCTACTACAGTTATTGCAAAGATAAAAGAAATGCCTCTGACATTATTCTAAAATACATCACAAATGTCAACAACAAATTATCTATAGCTCAAGATCTTTTTTTCTCTTTAGATTTTGACTGCTCTCAAAAGGAAATTAATCGAATTATTTTTTGGTTGCGACACAAAAAATGATTAAAAAAATATTTGGGATTTGAATTACATTGCTTTTCCTTCTAATGCAAATGGATGAAGAGTAATATTTAAATTTGCATGTATCATGACACTCTTTTTAAATATTGATTTTTGTTGGAAAACAAACATCTGACCCTTCTGGCTTTATTTTCCAACAAAACTCAAGATTATTGCTAATATCAAGTTTATTCTTCCTCCAATGAAGAAATTATTTCTTGAACCTATGTCATTATGCCATGCCACAATCTATTCTTCATAATCTCTTGAAGAGACAGATCTCAGGTAGAGTGGAAGAAATCCATTTATAAATTCTGTTATAAAATACACAACATATACTTGCACCTAGTCCGAAATATATGACGTTTTCCAGGCTTTTTATTTTTATTTTTTTTTTTAACAATTTTGATATTTCACATGCCAAGAAAATGCCAGGTCCATTATGAAAACTGGAAATTTTGCTGTCTCCAAGCGGAGTTGATTTTCGATACTTGTGAATGGAACTTAATGTCGAAATCAGAATTTATCAATAGCACATTGCTTCTATAGGTCACCAATATCAATGGAAAGAAAAAATCACTCCACATTTCATTACAGGACTTGCAAGATTTTAAAATGCACAAAATGAAGACAAATCTGGACAGTTTAATATTTTCCTTAGAATGTATTATTTGTAAATGAACCATAAACATAGGTAATCAGAGATTACAGAGCTCACCTCAACGAATGTTGTCTTTAAGTAAGGCAAAGTCACACAATTAACCAACAAAAAGTGTACATTCCAAAAATGAAAATATTTAAGCAATTTTGATCTGAATTACTTTGAAATAGACCTACATAAAAAAATTAAACTAGTTCTTCTTCATGAAAATGTAATTAAAATCCAGCATCTGAAGCAAATTTGAGTTTTCATCTCTTGATGCAACTTTTGTGCAAGTTTGGCTTATATGTTAAATAAGCCTTATAGTTTTTTTGGTAATAGACCTGCACCCGTAACTTTTACCTGGTCTATTATCTGAAAAATGTATGTCGAATTCAGCATCCGAAGCAAGTCCATTAGTGTGCATCCTAAGATGTATCGTCCATGCAAGTTTGCTCATTATAGGGCTCATAGTTTATTGGAAATAAAACATGCATCAAAAACTAACATTAAATTTCACTCATCCACAAAAAGTAGGTCAGATTCAGCATCCCAAGCAAGCCTGGTAGTATGCATCCTTAGATGTATCATCCATGCAAGTTTGGTACTTAAAGAACTCATAGTTACTTGGAAATGAAACCTGCACCAAAAACTTTAACCTGTTCACTCAACCGGAAAATGTAGGTCAGATTCAGCATCCGAAGCAAGCCAGGTATTATGCATCCTTAGATGTATCATCCATGCAAGTTTGGTAATTAAAGAACTCATAGTTACTTGGCAATGAAACCTGCACCAAAAACTTTAACCTGTTCACTCAACCGGAAAATGTAGGTCAGATTCAGCATCCGAAGCAAACTCGGTAGTATGCATCCTTAGATGTATCATCCATGCAAGTTTGGTCAACATAGGACTAATAGTTACTTGGAAATGAAACCTGCACCAAAAACTTTAACCTGTTCACTCAACCGGAAAATGTAGGTCAGATTCAGCATCCGAAGCAAGCCCGGTAGTATGCATCCTTAGATGTATCATCCATGCAAGTTTGGTCAACATAGGGCTTATAGTTACTTGGAAATGAAACCTACACCAAAAACTGCACCAAAAATGTTAACCTGCCCCAAAAACATTAACCTGGTCATTCCTTTGCTGAAATTTCAGCATCTGAAACTTTGACTGGTTCAATGAAACACAATAGAACCGTCTTTCATGCATGTCTAATCAATATAAGACATAGAAGTACT